AATGCCAAAACAATGGCTTTGTCCTAGACAGAAACCACTTCTGATCACAAAACCTGGACTCCATCCGCAGAAAGTGATGCTTTGCATTTGGTGGGACATCAAAGGAGTAATTCATTTCGAACTCCTCAATCCACAGCAAACTGTCAATGCAGAGATCTATAGTCAGCAGCTGGAATGTTTAAATCAAGCCCTTCATCAGAAACGCCCTTCACTCATCCATCGGAAAGGTGTTCTTCTTCCCCACGACAATGCACATCCACATGTGGCACGTTTGATTTAACACAAGATTAACATGATAATCCTTTCAGCTTGTAATGAGTTTATGATTAACCATTTCATGTTTCTATTGAGTTTATGATTAACCATTTCATGTTTCTATTGAGTTTATGATTAACCATTTCATGTTTCTATTGAGTTTATGATTAACCATTTCTTTATCCTAGGCTTTTCTGAGGATAGTGAATTTGCTTGCTAATTAAAAAGAGCTATGTGTATGCTGATAGTACAATAAGTTGTGAGAGCATTACGCATACCAGTGTATCTCTGTTCACCTCTCTTTTTTTTTATTAATAAGACCTGTTATCAAGACACTCACATGATCATCCCACCTTGTTAAGTGTATATATGCTTCTCTGTTGATTTTAGGTTTGGCCACGTGATCATGGCAGAAACTGGGACATCTGTTGGTGAAATTGCTGGACACAGTAAAATGATCAATTCATGTGACTTTCGCCCATGCCGTCCATTTAGAATCATTACAGGAAGTGAAGACAATTCAGTGCAGATCTATGAGGGTCCACCTTTTAAATTTAAGCATACACTTACTGTAAGTATAGAATCACCATCTGAATGGATACTGTAATTATTGGGCATGAATTTAGCTTTAAGCAAAACATAGATAAAAGCTAAAGATTAGTGTTAAATAACATTTACTTTATGTAGTTGTTTACTCTTTCTTGGCTCTGATTATGATAAACCAACTTTTATTTCCTGCATTACTCACATTGTGTTAATTCAGCAGCTCTAAATTTCATGGTATCCTGGTGGCTCAGTGGTAAGCTTGAGGGCTTATAATATTAAAATTCATGGATTGATTCCTGTGGTTGACACAGTGCAGTTAGCCTATTTACATAGCAGTGAAATTTCATAACAAATTAGTTGCTATAAAATAGAAGAGATGCTTTGTTTTAATAAGTAATTAATAACACAGAGTCACCAATATAATCACAAACTGAAAGCTTAAGTAATGCTTAACACTAAATACAGCCTTATCTCACTTCTTTCTTACCTTATCTAAAAAACATACCTCATTTAATTTCACACAGCAAAAAACATGAAATGGTTAATCATAAACTCAATAGAAACATGAAATGGTTAATCATAAACTCAACAGAAACATGAAATGGTTAATCATAAACTCATTACAAACATGAAATGGTTAATCATAAACTCAATACAAACATGAAACTAAAAATTAAAATTTTATTAAACATTATTTAAAAGAACTATGACTTAAAGTATATGAAAAGATATACAGATTAAAATTTTAATGGCTAATCAAAAATATACCTTTCTTTTCCTTCTCCAACAACAATGATCCTTTGATTATCCGGTGACCATGCCAAGTCCTTGACCTCACCAACAAATGGTTGGAACTCATTTTTCAGGATATGTTCTTTCTGAGTGGTGTCCCAAATTCTAAGTTTGCCAGAAATATCTGTTCAAATATATACAAAGAAAATGGTACTAGTTAAAGGAGGAACATAACCATTAATTTATATGTATATTTATCATAAGTCAGAGGTGCATAACATATGGCCCGCAGGACAAATTTGATCCACCAGCTCATTTTGTATGGCCTGTAACAAGAAATTATAGTGCACAAAGTTGAAATTTGTTGTTGTTGTTTAATTTGATGGAAACGTTTTTGTTTGTTATTAACTTTAAGAGTTTCTGCACCACAACTTAATAAATATTTTGTCAAATAGTCTTCAGAGTTAGTAGTAAATGCAAAGGGCTCAAAAATTTTTCGGAGGAAGAAATATTATGGCCCACCAAGCCCAATCACATTCCAAATTGGCCCCAACAAAAAAATTAGTGCTCCCCTGTTATAAGTACTTATGACATTGAATTCATATGTATCTTTATTATAAGTATTGATGACAATAAATTCATATGTATCTTTATTATAAGCACTCACGACCATGAATTCATATGTATCGTTATTATAAGTATTCATGACAATAAATTCATGTTTCTTTATTATAAGTACTCATGACCATGAATTTGTGTTTCTTTATTATAAGTATTTATCACCATGAATTCATATGTATCTTTATTATAAGTATTGATGACAATAAATTAATATGTATCTTTATTATAAGCACTCACGACCATGAATTCATATATATCTTTATTATAAGTATTCATGACAATAAATTCATGTTTCTTTATTATAAGTACTCATGACCATGAATTCATATATATCTTTATTATAAGTATTCATGACAATAAATTCATGTTTCTTTATTATAAGTACTCATGACCATGAATTTGTGTTTCTTTATTATAAGTATTTATCACCATGAATTCATATGCATCTTGATTATAAGTACAGAGAGGAGGCGAAAAAAAAGGCATTTCCTTACAATTTTATCTTTTCTAAAGAGAATTGGTCTACAGCAGGGATTCTCAACTTTTCCTCCATCATTAACCCCCTTACTTCCATACAAAAAATTCATGGCCATCATAAAGGGACAGAAAAACAAGAAGGTCAGAAAAAAAAATATTATCGGGTTTTGCACAAAAATAGCACACACACACACACACACACACACATTTTACAAAATGAAATTTAATTGAATTATTATTCAATCATCAGGTACATCAATTATTTACCCCCTGCCATGTAATTTTTTACCCCCAAGGGGTAAATTTACCCCTGGTTGAGAATCACTGGTAATATACAGGTAATGTTTAAAAAGTGAAAGTTACCCAGTCTATGGAATAGGGTATGATAATGCCTACTAGTACTATTACTAATGACTAAATGAGTACTGGTACTGTGGTAACACTGCTAGTGATAACTCTAGAATGTAGGATTAGCACATCGATTTTGATAATTGCTCGTGATGAAGAAAGGTCTGTTTTTCGAAAGTGCTTGAGTTATAACTTATAAATTTTTTTAACATTTGTCATAATTAATATTTTCATGCAGACTATACATTAGAATTCTGAGTACTTAGTATTGTCATTTTTGCATATGAGAACATATTTATTCTATCTGAATTATATATTATTATTAATCAGGTTACCATATATTTACATTATAATTTTTAATGCTGTATTCTGGCTTTTGTCAGTATGGTCTAAACATCAGTTTGTTAGTATACATTGAAACTAAAAGGTTGATAATCAATTATTTTAATGAGCAATAACTTTGTCTGCAGTATCATAAATTCTGTTTCTAATGATTACTATATTTTTATGTTTTAAATTAGATTTACTGCTTATTTGGTAGTTTTTTTATAGAATGCTGAGTAGTACATTATGTTTTATAGCATGTTTAGCTTTTGTTATAAACTTCAGTCTCTATATAACCTTGTATATGTACTTATTTTTCCATAATTCATTTGATTGATGGTGTATCTTAATTATGCTGTCAGTGATAGTGCTGATATTGATGCAAACAATAGTTGTGTTCTACATTTTCTTTGATCTGATTATTCAAAAGTGAAGGATGTTACAAAAATGATACTTATAGGATAATAAGTGTTGTTGAAAATTATAATTTGTCAGTTTTTTTCTTTTATTAGGATGAACATCATAACTTGTTTGATCAAAGTTTAGATTATGCATGTCTCTGGAAACATTCTCTTGCCTACACCTCCAAATGTGTACTGTTGTGGCAGTTAGGAAATTGGAGACTATACTACAAACCTCCTTACCCTCTGTGGCCCAATGTAGAAAATATGAATATACTCTGTATTCACTAATTATATAACACATTAAAGTATTATTAGAGATGTATATATATATATATATATCACATAAACAACAAAACATGTGGGTATGGATATGGAGGGATTCCAATACACATATTTAATGTCTATATTCTGAGTTAATTGATATAATTCATAACATATAAGCATAGATTACAGAGATTAGTGTTGCACAATTAATCATCTAATCGAAATTAATGTTTACAAATTTTACTGTTTTTGATAACTCCAATTATCCAGGTAATTGAAATATAGCTATTATGATTAGAGCTAATGGAATTTGATAATTGATTTAATGTTGGGCTCAGATAAGTCATGTGACACAGTTAGCTTTTGAAACAGTCTCTGATCAATATTTACTACTTAAGGGAAACCCTTTGCTCCATTTAAACCAATTAAGTTCCATTGAAATGTCTGAACTTGATGTACACATTTGACTTAGATGTTGAAGTTATTTTAAATTAATAGGGTAACTTTTTTGAGTTATGTCAAAACAAATATACTTACAAAGAAGAACTAAAAGGTCATACATGTAGTTCCAGTCATGGGAAACCTAGCTATGTGCTTGTTTTTATATTTATTTCACCATCTTTTCATTGGTTTATTTCATTTGTTTAATGTTTTGTTATTGTTGAAGGAAATAGTATGTGCTGTTAGCCAGCATAAGAAATTTAGATCAGTCCTAAATCCACTTACTAAATTAACAATGCAAAATAAACTCTATAATAAAGGTATGATAATAATATATATATATATATTAAACATTCTCACTAATTCTGTTAATGAAAGTAACATTAAAGATTATATTAGACACATTTGTGGACATGAAAAAAGCTGATTAATATGGGAGGATAATTTGTTATTTGTTTACTTCGTATGTTTCTAACTGATGTTGAGATAATGTCTTTTTTTAAAGTTGTAGGTTCCCTTTAATTCATTAGAGCTACTTTTCATTCTTGCAGTTTTGTTAATATGGAAGGGTTATTGTTTAATACAGAAGGAATTTCAAGTTGCAGTACTCACATGATGGCTACCACTGCTTCTGATAGTGCAACCAAGGCAAAAAGACACTCTCCTTCAAGTTTTAATAAAGAGAAGTTACCAGGAAAGATGACTTCAGATGAGTTAAAGACAAAGTTATACCAGAGATTCCAGCAGCAAGGAGTGCTAGATGAACTCCGTGCTCATCTACGAGAGAGACTTGTTAAGGAACTCTATAGTATGTGTAGAAAACCACATACACTGCCAATGTCTAAGCATGAAGAGTCTACAAACTCTGCTATTAACAATGAAATCACATTACCATTACAAGTAGGAGCTGTCTTTAGTGTTAAGTTTATTAATAATCGATTAGCTGATAGAAAATAATGTCATGTCTTTGGTTATTGTGGATAACCTTGTGTTTCAAGAGTTAAAATAATGAACTGAGAATGTTTTATAAAAGCATTGTTATATTATGTACCAAGTAACAGTTTTGTTCTACATGAATCAGTCTGTTTCATAAAGTACAATTTGTCTTCCTCAGTTACAGTTGTAATATCAATAAACCTTTTATCAAAGCATTTGTGCAAAATTAGTTTATTGTTCTTTCTTTTGATGTGTATACTTGGATCATTATTTGACATATTCCTTTCTTAGTTTGTATAAATTTCTTCATAGTTGTGTACTTTACCTTTTTTATGTCACGTTTCATGAGATTTGAGGTTTTTGGCTTCTTTTTATATTATGCTTTTCAATAACTAAAGTTTAGCTGTTGATTATTGAACAAATATAAATGAACTTTAGCAACTCTACTAGTGCAGTTTCATGAATGATGATTTATAAAGTTTAGTTCAGATAGATAAAACAAGTTTTCCTAATTTTTAGGTTTATCATCTAATTCTGTGTAATATTTTCACATCAGTCTTTTAAGATAAGAATGTTTAGGTTTTGTCTAAGCAAAATTAAACTTAAAATCACAAAGACATTTGTCAGGTTGTTCTGTTTGAAGATATACAGATGTTTTGTAATCTGTTCATTCAACATTTTCATATGTCTATTTAAAAGTAACCAATGACAATAAAGAACAGTATTTTTATGAGTTTTTATAACCTTTATCCAGTAATTTCATTTTTTTTGTTTTATCTACAGTTAACCAGAAAGAAAAAGCAATTTAATGTGAACCTTTGTTTAATTAGAAGCAATTGTCACTTTGAGTTTTAAAAAATAATCATCAAAGTCTAATAAAACTAAATTTTTTATGTAAACCTAAATATGTTGTAGGTAAGTGTGAGTTAATGTAATTTAAATTTTATATTCTGTGACTTTTGAAACAATACAAGTGAGCCACTTAATATTGTTTTTTCTGCAGGTTGCAAACTGGATGGTACAGCATCATCTACATCAGATGAATTATGTGTACACTTTATCCACATTTATGACAGAAGGAGCAATGTCAGTATCTGGTTTACAGAGTCTAACTGTTCATGACATACTCATTCTGTTAGGCATATTTCCTGATTCTTCTGTCCACAAGAAACTGACTAGTAACATTAAAAGTAGTAGCTTATTTTACAATATCATTCAGGAGGTCTTAAATGATATAACTTCCAAACAAACTAAACAGACGAGCCAAACCCAGACTGAAAGAATTCTGCTTACTCCTGATTCACTTCAGGATCCTCATGAATTACCAGTTGAAAACAGGCTACAATCAATTGATGATATGCTGTATGAGAGAAAAAGAAAAACATTTGAGAGGAAATCTTTGGAAGAGGAACTAAAATCAGTTGAAAAACGGGTGTCAAACCAATCAAGATCAGAGATGAAAAGTATGTTTGAGGATTTTCAGCAGGAGTTCAATAATAAGATGAAAACAAGAAATTCAAATTTTGTCAATGATCTCAGCATCATAGAAAAAGAACTTGAGTCAAGCTATCAGAGAAAGTTTGATGAAATGATTGATAAAGAAAACCAAATAAGGGAAGAAGCAAAAAGACAGCAAAACATAGTTCAAGAGGAGACACACCATTTACGAGAACTTCTATCAAAAGAACTAAATGCTCTTCGGAGACGAGAAACCAAAATGATAGAAGAGCTAGAAAATAAACGAAAGCAGTTAGTAATGGAAGAAGAGGAACTGAAGCAGAAGAAAGAGGACCATTTGGTGAGCTGTTATGAGTAACTGTAGATATGTTCTTTCCTTTGTAACCATTTATGTGTGTATTTCTTAAAATCCACTTGAGTTAATGTTTTTATTGTATTAATACATATTATTTTGGCTGCTTGAGTTAACTTTGTTTGGTCTATTAATTTATATTGTTATTAAAGGCTACTAGTATATTGTTAACACTATTTGATTGAAGTATCCTGTTTTAATGGTATTGCTAATGCTATACGTTTGTTTGCTGATTTAAATTTTCTATATTGTTTATTGTATAAATTGTTTATAATACTTAAGTTACATTTGTTTATTAATTTTTATTGTTAAGGCAACTTGGGTTAAGATTATTTGTGGTATTAACCTGTATAATTTATGCTACTAAAGTTTGTATACTGTATTAAATTGTTATTAATGCAACTTGAGCTAATTATGCTGTATAAGTCTGTTTAATTAATATTACTTGTGTTAAATTTGTTGTTGTACATGTATTAACTCACGTTTTTAAGGTAAATTGAGTCAAGTTTCCCGTATTAATTTATTTTATTGATGCTACTTGCATTAAAGTTGTTTGTTGTATTAATCTGTATTGCTAAGACTAATTAAATTACATTTGGTATAATAATTTGTATTATTACTTCTACTTGAATTTTATTAATATGTATTGCTCAGTGCTCCAGATAATTTTTGCCATGATCAGGCCATGATCATAATCTAGTGGAAAATATAGCATTGTGCCAAGTAATGTATGATATTGTTTTACTCAGCCTTGATGGTTTACAATTTTGGCAATTTGTTAGTCTCAAGCTCATAATTTACAAACTCTAAAGCCATCACAAAAATATATGTCTGTTTGAAAAATAATATAGAACATTTTGAAATTTCTCACAGTTATATATATTATAAATATTACAAGTCATTAAGTTTTGATCAATTATAACCAAACATAAATCTTTTTATCACATGGAATTTAGCTTCGTGAAGAAAAGCTTTTCAAAAAAGAAGTTCATTTGGATAAATTTATTGAGACTAAATTAAAGGAATTTCAAGAAAAGGAAAGGTTCAAAATGAAACAGAAGTTTGAAGAGCTAAACCAACTAGAGAAAAAGTTGAGTGTAAGAAACCAAAAGTAAGTATTCATGTACAGTGTATGTTAACTACTGTACTCCCTGATAATTTATTGTTTTCAATGCACACAAAATTCTCTATCTGGAATGATAAATAAATGCCTAAATTACATTCTACACAAAACTACAGTTTTTTCATTAAGTTTTCTGGTTTAGAAATTTTGGACCTTGAGCAACATTAAATTGTTTGTGTTTGACACCTGTAAAACTAATATATTTAATTTATATGAAGATTAATAGTGAACAATTTTTTCTCTCAAAAGTTTATTCTATAATGATCTCCATAATATATATAAACACACACATATATCATTTTTAGAGTTTCCATGTTTTAATTTTATTGTGTTGTTGGAAATAACATGTGCAGAAACTAGATATATATGCTAGTAAGTCAGTAGAACAAACAATTGCTTTATTACCATACTTACAGTTTATATGGAGGACTGCATTGTGTTGTATGATTATCATACTTTATTACTAGCTACAGTTTACCTGAACAACTTGTGCTGTATTGTATGATTGTGTTACCATGCTTTGTTACTAGCTACAGTTTACCTGAACAACTTGTGCTGTATTGTATGATTGTGTTACCATGCTTTGTTACTAGCTACAGTTTACCTGAACAACTTGTGCTGTATTGTATGATTGTGTTACCATGCTTTGTTACTAGCTACAGTTTACCTGAACAACTTGTGCTGTATTGTATGATTGTATTATCTTACTTTATTACTAGCTACAGTTTACCTGAACAACTTGTGCTGTATAGTATGATTGTATTATCTTACTTTATTACTAGCTACAGTTTACCTGAACAACTTGTGCTGTATTGTATGATTGTGTTACCATGCTTTGTTACTAGCTACAGTTTACCTGAACAACTTGTGCTGTATTGTATTATCTTACTTTATTACTAGCTACAGTTTACCTGAACAACTTGTGCTGTATTGTATTATCTTACTTTATTACTAGCTACAGTTTACCT